TAAACTGGAGGTAAGGCAATATGACAGTCAACAAATAATCAAGAACTTCGAAGAGAGATTAGCGAACAATCACAGAGTCTTACTGGAGCAGCTGGATAAGACTGCCTCACTCACAGTACAATTGGAAAACGAAAAAGAAAGGGTCAAGAAAGTAACCTTAGAAAAGGAAAAGTTAGAAGTAAAAGTTTGTGACTTAACTAAACAGTTGAAAGATTCTGAACTTGAACGCATCATAGCGATAAACAATTTTGACTTTATTCAAGCGAAACGATGCAAATTATATTCTATGATCAAAGAGTTGGAGGACTTACTTGCTAAGAGAGGTCAAACACAACAAACTATTTTCTTAAATCCGCCTAAAGACACCACTTTCTACAATCCCAAGGAAGGCTTAGGTTTCCAAAACCCATGCAACTTGAAGAAAGTCAATTGCATTCAATTGTATGACATTGGGTATATGGGTTTGGGTTTGACGAAACTTATGTCCTTCGTGGGAGCGTCAGAAATTGATACCGAAGAAAAGGAAAAGAGAGAAAATAATCCTAAGGTTGAAATCTCATTTGACTACACTAAACTGAATGATAGTTATAAGACTAGGGAAATTCCTTTGTCTGATGACTATGTATCACTTTTTCCTCCAGCAAGTGAGTCTGAGTCTGTGTCTACGGGGGAAGACAAATCTGTTTCTGAAAAATCTGAAACCAACAATGTTTATATTCCAAAGATCATCTGTAAAATTGCAGACTTGCACAAATCTTTGGAAACTGAAAGAGAGGTTTTCAAAACAGAAAAGAGACAACTTTTAAATGAGATTTCTCTTCTCAAAAATGCCCCCAGTGCAGACACAATCTCTACCTCCTCTTCTATTTCAAAAAGTGTTTTTAAAGAAAGTGCAAGTTCAAGCTCTCAGTCGTTTAGCTCTGTCACACACCATTCTTCTCAGTCTTTTTCTACTGACTCTAGATCTATGTTTTCTCATTCTAGTGCTGACGTTAGAAAGCCTGAGAAGCTTAAGCAAAAGGCTAAGGCTGTCAAACCTCATTGTGATGTGAATAATGGCAAATCGAAAAAGAAAAGATTTGAAGCTTCAACCTATACTGTTTGTGATGGTGTTTGCCTGACTTATCCCCTCAAGGTTTATTCAGCTAAACACCTGAAACGGTTATTAAGGGAGAAAATCTTTACTTCTCGGAAATATGTTCCATCATTCACCTGCGCTGAAAATTCTCATACACATGCAATAACTCAAAAATGAGTTCCTAAATCAGAATCCCAGTCATATAGCTCTCCAAAAGCTTCAAAAGAGACTGGTTTAGGAACTAAAATTAAACAAAAATTTCGAAATTTGTTTTGTGCTAAAAGGGATGGACCCACCCTGAAATGGGCACCAAAGGTTTCTTAACCTTTTGCAGGTCCGTCATGTGTGGTAACTGAACCGATTGCTCCACACGCATGGCGGGTATGAAGACGAGCTGTGAGCAATCAACTAGTGCACATTATGAAAGGGAGTATTGGCGTGTATACTACCCCAACGAGCTGAAAATCAAGAAATGCACACCTCAACGCCGACACATGCCAAGAACAAACAACAAATGCTTATTCTGAGGGGGAGTGTTCCTTTTTCACTCCTCCTGGTGCCTAATAATGAAGAAAGCACATTCCAAGGGGGAGTCTTCTACTTTACTCCCCGGGTGATCAACAACACCTTGCATATTCTGAGGGGGAGTTACATTTTTCTCCTCCTGGTGCCAATCAAGGATCAATGCAAGCCAACCCAAAGATGTTATGGCACAACTAGCTGCAATCAAGACCGTCTACGGGATCCAGAATTGATACCCCATCAAGGAGAACAACTCGAAGCTGGACCTAAAGGTCTCGTCTTGTCTAACGTGATCGTGACCACTCTGAAGGACCACACACTATGACAAGCCATGAGCGAATTTGCTAAAGTCCCTCAGGTGTATCTCCAACAATTTTGGGCAACATTTGACAAGGACACTGATGATGATGACAACGAGATAGATGGCGTGCTGACCGCCACTATCAAGGACACTAAGGTCACGATTACCAAAGAGTTGATGCACCAGGTGTTGCAAATCTTATAAGAGGATGCATATTATGAGTTGGGCACTGAGGAAGACATCATGGAAGACATGATCACACTGGGTCATGCACATCCGATCAGCTCATCTCCCAGGTCAAAACCGGAAGACGACCACGGCCATGGAGGACGCTGATGGCTATGCTAAACAAGTGCTGCACTGCCAAACACACCGGCTTCGTTAAGTGCAACATCTATCTTTTGACCATCTTTCATGGCGTGGCATTCAACAAAAAAAAACTGCGACTTTGTCTCGCTGATCTGGGACGACATTCTTGAGCTAATTAGAAAGACGAAAAGGACCAACCAGATCAAACATCTTCCATATATGAGATGACTTTCAATGTTAGTGCGACGTTTCTGCAAAACAACTCCAACTATCCACCAAAGACAATCTACTGAGAACGTCAGCACTCCATCCCTCAAAATACCTCCAAAAGGTGATTGAAGATCCAACACTAGTACCTCTCTTAATACCAGTGTCTCTGTTACAGTTAACTTATCCAAATGATCCATCTTCCCGACGCTACTGCCAGAAGAATAACATTATATACTCCCTACGGCTCAGATAAACCCCCCCTGAGCCTGCCCAAGGGAGTCAGCCGAGAGAAAGTGAGGGTCCTGAGAGTTCAACCCGGCTACAAAGACATGTGACAAGCCGGCCCCATGATGATCAGACTACGTCTGCTGAGGGCCACCCCCGAGTTGGTGAGGAGACTACGAATGACTCGTCTAGCGCAGCCAGACCACAAAACGCTGGCGATGAGGGCTCCGGGAGCAAGGCTGGAAAGAGCGACAACGACAAGGGTGATGAGGACGATGACAATGTGGACGACAACGCGAAGAAAGCCAGGAAAGCTCCGGTACACAAACACCGATTCATTATAAAGCTTCCTATGACTACAGATACAGAGGAGTCTTACCTGAGAAAGAACACTCACGGAAAAATCATCAAAGAGACTCGCTCTAAACAACATCATGATGTCTCCTCCTCCTCACTCATTCCTACGCAAAGAGTGCAAACATCAAGCAACCAGGCTGAAGAAATGGCCTTGTATGACGGTTGTTCAGACTTAGATAAAATAAACCGGTTAAATATTGAACAAGATTGAACACCAAGGGGGAGATTGTTAGGGATATTTTATGGTATCCAATCTGGTTAAATATCTTTGTATTTGTGTAGCTATTTTGTCTAAATATTTCAGCCCATTGGCACGTTTGTAAGCTATAAGTAGACTAGCTTTATTAGGAAATGTGTAAAGTGTGTTATTGGGCCCAATGATTAAAAGAGCCCAATCATGCTTAGGTCACATCACACATTCCCTAGGCATATAAATATTGCCTTTAAGGGAATGTGCAAAAAAAGGCTTTTACAGATATTCACGCATACATCATTCTAGTGAGAGAGAGAGCCGCAGCTTACTTTTCGATACCTAACTCTGTATATCGAATATCATTTTCGGTATTGAATGGAAGTTGTTCTTCTCTACTATATATATATATATATATATATATATATATATATATATATATAGAGAGAGAGAGAGAGAGAGAGAGAGAGAGAGAGAGGAATGTTCATGTCAGGCCGGCCTGACGGGCTGCCCCGTCCGGCCGAGCCTGTTTGGGCACCTTCCCGGTGGAATTTTTTGATGAAATTTTTTGAGCATGTTCCTCATCAAGTCTAGTTTGTCCATACCAAATTTCAGCTCAAAATTCGATCGGTAAGGTCGTCAAATGATTTTTGCAAGTTAACTGGTCCGGAATATGTATTTTCCGGACCAGTTAACTTGCAAAAATCATTTGACGACCTTCCCGATCGAATTTTGAGTTGAAATTTGGTATGGACAAACTAGACTTGACGAGGAACATGCTCAAAAAATTTCATCAAAAAATTCCATCGGGAAGGTGCCCAAACGGGCTCGGCCGGACGGGGCAGCCCGTCAGGCCGGCCTGACATGAAGAGCACTCTATATATATATATATATATATATATATATATATATATATATTGGTTCAAGTGAGAAATGCATCTAATGTGAGAAATGAGAATGAATCTCAGCCATTAGATTCGCGAAGTTGCACTAAAATGATTTGATGTTGCAGTGATATTTAAATTTTGCACATGTTGCACTAAAACTGTTTCATGTTGCACTAATATTTGACGGCGTTGCACCGAAATAGCTTCATGTTGCACTAGACACGTCTAATACGGATTTTTCAGAAGTATTTACAGAAATGCCATCGTGTTAGATTGCATATTTCAGTGCATCATCAAGTGTCATTTACTGCAACTTAGTCGAATCCAATGGTTGAGATTCATTCTCATTTCTCACCTAAAGGGTTCTTCTCACCTGAACCTTACCCTATATATATATATATATATATATATATATATATATATATATATATATATATATATATATATTGTTTGATTGTTGGATGAAATAGGGACAAACAATAGATCTAATAGAAAAAAAGACCTTGGTAGTGGGTGAAGTCTCACTCTGCTCTTTACTTTTTTGGAAGAAGTTATCCACTAGGTATTGGGTTTAATAAATGTGTGGAGATTTTTTTTGTAAGGTAGAATTTTTAATTTAGAAACATTAAATTTTAAAATAAAGATTGGATCATGCAAACTAAAGTGCATTTCATTCGGTCCATAAGTTACAACATAGACAAATAAAGATAGGAGTGCGTATAGCACATCTGTGTGACTGGGAAAAAAATAAAAATTTAGGGTGTAGCCCTGGCAGATTTGAACCTTTGACGTATAGCCTCTAGAGAAATTTAATTGTATCACTACTACCGGTTGGCCTAGCAACATTTATTGAGGTGAAGCCTATGCTTATCCTCATTATACCATAGGTCCGCCCCTGCTCAGGGCCCATAGCAATTTGCGGTCTATCACAAAACAATGCTACATCCTTTCTTGATGAAAGGTCATCCTTAGTCTTTTCGTTGAAGTTCATCAATGTGTTAAAAATGTTATCAAAAACATTTTTCTCAATATGTAATACATCCAAATTATGCCCAATGTATGAGAATATTTTTCCAATATGGCAATTCCAAAAAAAATGCTTTTCATTGTCCACTTATGATGCGTTAGATATCCATCTGGATACTCAAGAGGATCATCTATAGCAAAAGGGATGTTTTGAACACAATCATAAATCTGATATCTTGTTAACCTCAGAGGTGGAGGATCACGCTCAATGCGATCCATGATGAATGACTTTTTATCCTTTCGATATGGATGATTCAGAGGGAGAAATTTCCGATGACAATCAAAGTAAGATTGTTTGCGACTATTCTTTAGCCAAAATTCATGTGACTTTTTCGATACAAACAGGACATCTCGTAAGACCTGCAGTACTCCTTCCAAAGAGCATTCTGTATGCTGGAAAATCACTAATTGTCCACATAACTGCAGCTTTCGTATTAAATATTTGATCTCTCGAAACATCGTATGTAGGAACACCAACATCCCATAACTGTTTCAGCTCTTCAACCAATGGCTGCAAGTACACACCATTTTTTTGGATTACCATGACTAGGACACATTAATGATAAAAATATAAAATGATTTTTCATACACATGTCTAGGGGGGGATTATACCGTGTAATGATAATTGACCAACATGAGAACTGGCCTCCATATTGACCGTACGGAGCAAAACCGTTAGCACATAACCCAAGACTCACGTTGTGTGGCTGAGTGGCTCTACAGCAAATTGAGGATAGCATCGATCAAAATGCTTCCACGCCACGGAATATCATGAATGACACATTAACCCTTCTTTAGTGTCATACTCTACATGCCACGTCATGTGTTTAGCGGTAGCGCTTGAGGCATATAATCTCTTCAATCGTGGTGCTAAAGGAAGATATATCAACTTAGATGGTATAGATCTTTTTCTTGGATTTTGACTCATAGCTAATATAAACTTGTACCTATCCGCATTAAAAAACTTACACCGGATCAGTGTTTCATCGTTCTTCCAAAACAACATACATTCTTCAGGGCATGCATGGATTTTATCATAGGGAGACCTAATTCTGAGACTAACTTTTTCATGATGTAGTATGTATTGGGAAGACAATGGTCACGAGATAACATGCTACCAACTGAGTCTAATATTGTGGACATGCAGCTCTCAGAGAGGTTATATTCGGACTTTCTGTTCAGAAATTCAGAAATGCTTATATTGTGAATGACCGTAACAATCGGAATATAAAGGTTGATCCGCACTTTTGAGTACATCTTGAAATATGGTGCCCAACACATCCACATCATAAAACAATGAACTTGGTCCTTCGTTCACATTATTGTGTGCGCAGAAATCACTATTTGTGTGGATATTGGAAAACATAGAAGGAATAACCAAATCATAAAGAATTTTTTGATCGCATGCCATTTTTTCATAATTTCCCAAATTAGTCATCTCATCGGGAACATACCTCGATGTTCCCACGATTTGCGACAAAAAACACGACTTGATTAGTTCTCCTTGAGAAGTCCAATTGTAATAGTCTTGAACAAAACCATTTGTATATAAATGTCAACAAACACCCTCACCATTAAGAAATTTGATATTTTTACACTTTGTACAAGGACATCTTATTTAATTTCATCCATATACCGTGTTTGTCCTTGTGCAAAAGTAAGAAATTCGTTAACTCTATTAATGAACTCATGTGTCAATCCTCTACCATTTTTAACATATGGGTTATACATTCAACTTCTACTTTGTGTATACATTATGCCTGAATATTGAAAAATATCTTAATAAATATTAATTTATTACAATTACAAGTTCAATACTAAAGTTTTAAGGCTAACACTAAAATACAATCAATATAATCAAGACAAAACATATTAATAACAACTCATATTATGGATGAAAATAATTTAAAAGCACTAAATCCGAAATTTACATACCTTATAGAACGGCAATACCTTCTCTAAGAATTCAAATACAATACCTTGAAATAGCAAATAATATATCTTTCAACTTCAATTCAAAATTCATCATAGACAAATATAAAATGCATAATTTTACAAGATGTAATTTGTTTTACAAAAAAACAAGGAGTATTTGAGATTTCTTAGGCACAGATTTTTGGCACGGAATTAGGCTCCACCAGGGGGAGAAATCCAACGGTTTGATTTGGCACGGATATTGGCACAGAACTTACCTTTCTTCGCAACGACTACTTATAGGGACGGGTTTTGGCACGACAAAGTTAGTCTCCAAATAACGGAAATTCAAACATCAAAGCACCAATACTTAGCCCGCGACTTATGGCTCAGACCTTGGCACAGATATGGTACAACATGTTTATGATGCGGTTTTGTCTCGGTTTTTGGCTCGGGAAATGTTGTCTCGGAAACGTCCGTGCCACAGTAAAAAGGAAAAACCGCTCATTTTTTGCTCGGAATGTGTTCCCAGCCAAATAACGACGGATATTGCGGCGGACTTTCACGCAGACCAATTTTTTTCCATTTTTCGGTCTTGGCACGGATTATGGCTTCGAATGGTTGAGCCAAACTCATAGGCACGAATTTGACCGAGCCAAGGCTGAAATAAAACTGGGTTTTAGCTAATCCAAGCCTTAGTCCGAGCCAAACTTGGTTGGGATTGCATTCGTGCCTATAACAAGATTTTTTTTATAGTAGTGACACAACAATCACTGATCATATAGATCCTTCAAACGACATAATACCTAGCACAATTGGCAATCATTATTGTAAAACTAAAATTAAAGACAACAACAAAAAGCAGAGAAACATAAACAAACATAACGCGAAAATAAAACCAAACTCCTTCCTGCCGGTTTTTTTGAAACATCGTCTTCCAAACCCTGACGCCTCGATCGCTCCAAGGCGGCAGTTCAGGATATTTTTTTATTATTAAAAACTTATCTTCAATAGGAGTATAAGTAATACTCGCATGTTTTAATCTTGTTTTAAGAAACATCTCTCCGTTACTGTCCATGTTGTGTGTGTGAAATAATGGGAAAGGTACTCCAATAAGAGTCCTGGCAGGTATATTTACATTAAATAAGAGTTACCAAAAGACACAAGGATTCCTAATTTATATTAACTATTACACCCCCTCAAGCTGTGCGGGAGATACAACGCGCAAGATGTCTTTTAAAAAATCAAACTGCTGACTAGATAGAGCATTAGTAAATATATCTGCAAGCTTCAAGTGTATGGGAATATACTTCACTAATAGATCACCATGAGCAACTCTCTCACGAACAAAATGATAATCGATCTGAATATGCTTGTTGCGAGCATGCTGAACAGGATTAGCAGTCAAGTAGGAAGCCGAGATATTTTCACAAAATAACTGCACAGGGTCACGGATAGGGTAGCCGAACTCAAATAGGACAGAACGTATGTGAAGCGTGTCATGGACTGTGTATGCTATGGCTCGGTATTCAGACTCTGTAGAAGACTTGGACACCATATGCTGCTTCTTTGACTTCCAAGATACAAGGTTCGGACCCAGAAAAATAGCAAAACCTGTAGTAGAGCGGGAAGTGTCTGGACATCCTGCCCAATCAGCATCGGAATAGGCCAAAAGACACAAGGAGCGTGCAAAATTCTGAAGCCATAATCCATGATCAATGGCACCCTGTATATAACAAAATATGCGCTTGACAGCAAGCATGTGAGTGGTGCGTGGGGCATGCATAAACTAAGACACTAAATGAACTGCATAAGTAATATCAGGTCTTGTCAAAGTTAAATATTGCAATGCACCTACCATACTACGATACTCCGTAGCATCAGTAAGAAGTTCACCATCAGTGAGGGAGAGAGATGTACTAGTGGCGACTGGGGTACGAACAGACTTGAGAGTGTGTAGGTGAAAACGAAGAAGAAGATCAGAAACATATTTTTGTTGAGACAAGAAAACTCCTTTAGAGTTTCGAACATCCTGGACTCCCAAAAAATAATGAAGATCACCGAGATCTTTCATAGCAAAATGAGAAGCAATACATGTAATAAAGAAGACACAAGAGATGAAGAATTACCAGTAATAATAATATCATCCACATATAATAATAGATACATAACTGACTTACCGTTACGGTAAATGAACAAAGAATTATCTGACTTACTACACACAAAATTATGACTAAGTAAGAAACTACTAAAACGATGGAACCACGCCCGCGGGGCCTGTTTGAGACCATATATGGCCTTGCGCAAACGACACACACGATGAGGAAACTGTGGATGGACAAAACCCTGCGGCTGACGCATATAGACCTCCTCTGTAAGATGACCATGAAGGAATGCATTTTTGACATCCAACTGACGCATAACCCACCCAAAAGAAATAGTAAGAGTAAGAACTATACGAACAATGGTGGGTTTAACGACAGGACTAAAAGTCTCAGAAAAATCTACTCCAGCCTGCTGATTAAATCCTTGGGCAACCAAACGTGCTTTATGGCGCTCAATAGACTCATCAGAGTGAAACTTAGTTTTATAAATCCACTTAGACCCAACCACATTTTTAGAGCTATCAAATGGAACTGAATCCCAGGTATTATTGGAAATAAGCGCATTAAATTCATCCGCCATAGCCTCACACCAAATTAAATGTTTTTGTGCCTTTGAAAAACAAGTCAGATCGGCTGCACTAACAATTGTGTTTAACGTAAAAATTTATTTCGGTTTAAAAATACCAGACTTAGCCCGGGTTTGCATGGGATGAACATTAAATCGAGGACCAACTGTGGTGATGGGAGGAGAAGATGTCGAACTGATGGGAGGAGAAGATGTGACAAGCGAGGGAGAAGAGGACGGTGGACTGGTCAGGCTACTGGACTGGTTGTTGGTCAAGGTGAATGGGTTGGTCTGGTAACTGAACTGGTTGTTGGCCGAGGGTGGGCTGAAGGGAGGACTAGTCTAGTTAGTTGATGGAGTGGCCGAAGGTGGTGACTGGGAGCTGACCGAGATCGGGGCTAACTGGGAACTGGCCGAGGGAGTGGCCGAGGGTGGTGGGTTGACACATGTGGGAGTTGAATACACATGGTGAGGTGCAGGCAGTAAATTTGGTGAGGAAGACCAAAGGGTGTTGGTTAGAAAGAACTAGGAATTTTCAGGGGGAGAGGAGGTTGACTCAGAGGAGGAAGAGCTTAATAAGGTAAAGGGAAAATTATTTTCAAGGAACCTAACATGACGTCTGACATATACTCTACCAGATTTAGGTTTAAGACAACGATACCCTTTATAACCAGATGCATAGCCAATAAACACACAATGAACAGAACGGGCTGAGAGTTTATTTGCAGAAGAGGCCGAAATGTTGGGATAACATGAGCAACCAAACACACGCATGAAGGCATAATCAGGAACTTTTTGGAAAAGTTTTTCATATGGAGAAGAATTGCCAAGTAAAGGAGAGGGTAAATGGTTAATAATAAATGCAGCCGTAAAAATGGCATCTACCCAGAACTGACTAGAAATAGATGTTTCAAGAAGCATAGTCCTAGTGAGTTCTAACAGATGTCGATGTTTATGTTCAACAACCCCATTTTGTTGAGGGTGTCAGGACAAGATTTGCGAAAATATATTCCATGAGTAAAAAAAAACTCTTGCATATTAAAATTAACAAATTCACCCCTCCATCACTTTGAAAATTTTAATTTTAGTATTAAAAAGATTTTCAACCAATGCTTTAAAATTTTTAAAATGATGAAAAACTTATGCCTTCGTGCGCATGGGGTATAGCCAAGTATAGCGAGAAAAATCATCAATAAAACACACATAATATTTAAAACTCAAATTAGATAAAACAGGAGACTGCCAAACATCCGAATGAATTAATTGCAAAGGTATAGTAGAATTATGATTAGCATCCATAAAGGGTAAACGTTGAGATCTGCCTAATCGGCAAGAAATACAGTCATGAGAAAAAGTAGAGTTACTACAAATATGATGCTGA